GGGGTCGGGGGTGAGGGGTTCTTATTTACGTCAATTTTATAAGATATTTATGTCTTGGCGTGGAATGGGCTCGGGTGGCTCTTACACACTGGAGCTTGGCTCACTTTTTATTTATTTATTTATTTTTTCAATACTAAAATAATGAAAAAACAAGTCAAAAAATGATCAGGTTTACGAGGCTTGTAAAAAAATCGAGCTCAACCCCACTCATGACTCGCCTTAACAGGGGCGTGAATATCCATTGTCTGAATTGGGACGAGTCGAACCAACAAACGGCTCAGCTCATTTGCCACCTTTTCAAATATTTTAAAACATCATATGTTAGATCAACTATTGGGATCAATCGGTATGATTGGACTAATAATATATTAGATTTGGTACATTATATTGAATTAAACAAATGGTATGTAAATATAATTAACTTTTAGATAACTCTATATGTATATTATGGTGTTCATAATGGTGTCTATATTGTACACGTGAAATTTTATGATTGGAGGGTAGAAAAAATTATTTTTGAATCCTCCAATGATATTATGCCACTTGTATATTATGGACACTCTTATGGATATTATAATGTACATGTAATATAACCCTTAACTTTTTTCCTTCAATAATTACAATAAAAGTTTCCATTTGGTCCACTACTAGTTTCTATCCATATTTCCATTACAAATTTGGAAATTTAATTAAAAATACATTATATCCTCACTATTAATTAAAATAAAAAATTTAAAAGAAAACTTGTTTCTATACGACGTACAGATACACCCTCCTCCCCCATACCCAAAATACAATTTCACGTAAGGCACATGGAAGAGAATGATTGTATCGAGCTGCGATATACTTTTATCCTAAAAGAGCAAGTGGTATAAGAATAGTATCATTTTAATGATTAAAATCCCTTCAATTGAAACCCAACTTACTAACATCATTTAGGAGTCGAGAACCCGCTTTTGTCATTAATACTCTTTAATGACACGAGCTTTCCTACCAAACACGTCACGTGTACATAGAGGAGCAATGACTAGACCAACTATTAACATATAGGATTGCATTCACTACATCACTGGAAAAGAGATCTGGTCTAACTTCAACTGGACCAAACTGAACATGGTGAATGATTGTTTAGACGTGTTGTAATTTTCTTTTGGCTGCATTTTTATCTCATAAATTCCTGCTAAATATATTTGTGAATGTAGGGAGCTCTCTTTCATTACTATGGACCATCTGCTGGATGCACAGCTTGCGTTGCAGTCGTCCAAAATAATCAACTTCTTGTTGCAAATGCTGGAGATTCACGTTGTGTTCTCTCTAGGGGGGTCAGGTGAGGTTTTTCTCTTACTTTCCTAGGAGTAATATTACATTTTGTTCTTTGGAACTAGTTATTTCTTTCAAATGCAATAATAGTTAAATGAATGGTTTTAATGTCCAAAAAAGGGGATGTTGAATTCTCTGGAGGAGGTAAACACCCGAGACCTTGGTTTAGAGTTGTAGAGATATTAGACTGGAGAAGACAGAAATAGAATGAGTTTGTAATTTTTAATTGTATAAGTAATAACTATTGTAATAAAATTAAATTATACAATAGATGTATATCATTATGTGCAATCTTCTTTTAGAATTTGTACATGGATATCGAATTAGAATAATTTCTTCCCCAATAAGTGTATTTTTCATAAATTTAATTCAAATATCATAATTGGACAACATAATGGAAATTTAATAAATCAGCGTCACCAATTTATGTCTTAAATAGGTTAATATGAATAAATTAGGGGTTAACTAATAGAAATCATACCAAATTTCTTATATGCACTCGCATGTTTTTGTGCTTATGACTAGCCTTGCTTTGAATTAAACCTCATGTTGAAATATTTTTCATTTCTCAATTTGTCATTTTTGCATAATTAGATAAAAATAAAAATTTTAATGTTGGAAAACATAAGCCTATTTTCGTTAGCAGAACTAATTTAATAATTTAAATAAGTTACGGATCTTATTAATCAATTAGCGTAAATTATACTAATTAGACGTCATTAGGTTAAAATAAAGATTATTTTATCATTAAGAATTTAACAAAACAAGACCACTTACTTGAGATCACTCAATTAGATTAATCTATGTCATCCATTCTAAAACGCCATTAAGACTTATTGTAATATTTTATTTTTTTATTAAAGTTTGATTAAATTTACACGTTTTCCCTTCTTTTTTTTTTTTTTTTTTTTTAAAACATGGACTTAAACAAATTGACCAAAATCACACGTTTCTTCAGTCCGTTACTTTGTATTAAGATTATCTTTCCAATTAGCCATCTAATCGCGCAATTAGGTTCGTAAATAATTGTATTGATTAGACATTTTTAATCAATACACTGGTTTGATAATACAAGGATTAGGTAACTTAAGACTTTAGTGAAGACTTTTAGAAAAATGTAAAACAACTAGATACCGGATGGGATTGTGAAAGGATTGCATTCACTACATCACTGGAAAAGACATCTAGTCTAACTTCAATCAGACCTAACTGAACATGGTGAATGATTGTTCAGACGTGTTGTATTTTCTTTTGGCTGTGATTTTATCTCATAAATTCCTGCTAAATATATTTGTGAATGTAGGGAGCTCTCTCTCATTACTATGGACCATCTGCTGGATGCACAGCTTGCGTTGCAGTCGTCCAAAATAATCAACTTCTTGTTGCAAATGTTGGAAATTTATGATTGACTTCACTTTTCTTGAATCTAACTCACTCGATCGTTGAATTATAAGGAAAAAAAATTGATTGTACACCACTTTTTACTATTCTAATTTCTTGTTGGATACTAGAATTCGACCTACTATTAATGTCACTATGTCCATTTTACGCGCTTTGTTACATTTTCAAAAGGTCTATGTGTCTATGCCTCGTGAAAATGAAACTTGACTAAACCACTTACTCGAGATCACACAATTAGGTTAATCTATGTTATCCATTCTAAAACGCCATGAAGACTTATTGCAATATTTTATTTTTTTATTAAAATTTGATTAAATTTACACGTTTTGTTTTTTTTTTAACATGGACTTAAACAAATTGACCAAAATCACACGTTTCTTCAGTCTGTTACTTTGTATCACGATTATCTTTCCAATTAGCCATCTAATCGCGCAATTAGGTTTGTAAATAATTGTATTGATTCGACATAAGTTGATCACATGATATCATATTGATTAGACGTTTTTAATCAATACACAAGTTTGATAATACAAGGATTAGGTAACTTAAGACTTTAGTGAAGACTTTAGAAAAATGTAAAACGACTCTATACTGGATGGGATTGTGAAAGGATTGAATTCACTACATCACTGGAAAAGACATCTGGTCTATCTTCAATTGGACCTAACTGAACATGGTGAATGATTGCTTAGACGTGTTGTAATTTTCTTTTGGCTGCATTTTTATCTCATAAATTCCTGCTAAATATATTTGTGAATGTAGGGAGCTCTCTTTGATTACTATGGACCATCTACTAGATGCACAGCTTGCGTTGCAGTCGTCCAAAATAATCAACTTCTCGTGGCAAATGCTGGAGATTCACGTTGTGTTCTCTCTAGGAGGGGTCAAGTGAGGTTTTTCTTTTACTTTCCAAGGAGTAATATTACGTTTTGTTCTTTGGAACTAGTTATTTCTTTCAAATGAAATAGTAGTTAAATGAATGGTTTTAATATCCAAAAAATGGGATGTTGAATTCTCTGGAGGAGGTAAGCACCCGAGACCTTGGTTTAGAGTAGTAGAGATATTAAACTGGAGATGACAGAATTAGAATGAGTTTGTAATTTTTAATTGTATAAGTAATAACTATCGGAATATAATTAAATTATACAATAGATGTATATCATTATGTGCAATCTTCTTTTAGGGGAAGACAATGGTGGATTAGGGAGGGTTCTATCTCGTTCTGGTATGCTCATTGGTTAGATGACGGCCCTTTGTCACGGGACGCATCACATATTGATCAACCAACTCTTAGAATCAAAGATATTTGCTTGGATAGTGGTTGGAATATGAATCAATTACTGCAACTTGTAGGGGAAGACAAAGCTGCTAGTGTTATGGCTAAGGTGAGTAAATGTAGAGAGGGGGATGATGTTCTTATTTGGAAACCGAATAGTCAAGGAACATTCTTTTCCAAGAGTGCATGGGACATGATTAGAGTTTGGCAGCCCCAAACTTGTTGGGGTAGATGGGTATGGCATTCTACACTCCTAAAAAAAATGTCAGTGATAATGTGGAAGGCTTTTTCTAAAGCTTTAAGTGTTGATAGTAGAGTTCGGCAAATGGGTGTAGCCTTAGCTTCTCGTTGTGATTGCTGCCTTACTGGAAATGAAGAAACACCCAACCATGTTCTTAGTACAGGTGAGGTGGCAAACGAAGTTTGGAGGAAAGTTTCAGTGGCTTTGGGTATTCGGTGGAGATCTAAACAAAACTGGTATGATAGAGTAAATTCATGGTGGGCCATTGCAGGTAAAAAATCACAAGTTGGGTACTTACAAGGGTTACTTCCAACTATACTGACGCGGAGGCTATGGATGAGACGTTGCAAAGCGAGAATGGAAGGTGTTCATGAAACTGTGGAGCAGATTTTTCGTTCGATAAAATTCTGGCTGCAACATGTGTCATCCAATTTGAAAAATGTCAAAATATGATGAACACGCCCAGTTACTATTTATTTCAATTTGATAGTAGCAGCATGTGGCACCATAGTTGTAGTTGATTAACTAAACAAAACATTTCATAGAGTCAGACAATGTCTCTATTTATCTCTTTTAGGATAAGTGTTCTAGCTGTTACACAGAGTATTGATTTGCTAGCTTTTACGCAAAATGGGCAATGTACTTTACCTTATAATAAAAGTAATTCGATAAGTGAAGAGTACATTTAAAGGCAAAATTTTATGATCTAAAAAGAAGGTATAAATTTAAAGGGAAATGTTTTTTTTTTAAGGAATAAGCTGATAAGATTATCAGACAGTAAAAAATTTTATTTTTTAGCAAGATGCGAAGCGAAAAGATCCCTAATCTTGTAATACTTCGATAAAAATATGTAAAAATTCAATTTATGTATTGAAAAAGAAAACAATAAAATATTATAGAACTCATCACATTGATAAAAAAATATTTCTAAAACAATACTTTCTTGACCTTATGAGGTTGCATTTTAACCCTTTTTTCATATTTCTTCTGCTCATCTGTAACTTACTCCATGTAAATGTGACTTAATATTTCACAATCGTTATCTCCGCTTAACAGACCATGTAGAAGTACGGCTTCTCGATATGTTGTAACAATTGTCCCTTTCGAAGTTCATAAATCTTGAAATGATGTTAGCCCTCGAATGTGATTAAGAAGAATACGAAGGAAATATCGTTCTCCTTCAGAAGGATTGACCGTGACAATTCGTCCTATAACAATTTGTTTCTTTTTCAAAGTCCAAATCTTTTTATTTGTATTCCAAACAAAATGTGTAGGGAAATCTCGATATAACAATGTTCGAGCAAACTCGTTCACTTTATTCATTCGAAAAAATTCTGTTAGCATTGTTCTTTTCATATTTTCATTGTCAAAAACAGTAGATAAATCATCTTGATCATTGAATGTTACTTGTTGATGATTTTGAATATAGAGTTGTAGAGAATAAACAGTAGGATACATTTCTGACAAATTAAAAGAAAAAATCCTCCACATATCTTCAGGTGGAAATATCCATATAGCAGATTGATAGGTAGATATTTCATCAATTTCTTTCCCTATATCATTTGTTCAAATTGAGAAATTAATACGATCATATCCTTCGTACACATATTTGTATAAATATTGACCCGAAATTTTCGGGTATTTAGTAAGTGGAACCGTTCGGGTTCGGTCCGATTCGGTTCTATTCGGTTCCATATTATAATTAAATTTTTTAATATATACAAAGTTAAGTTAATTTAATTAATGATATGTTCAATATTAGCTTTTACAAAACAACATAGTTCAATCTTATGTGTTTCACGTCTCTCTTTGCTGAATTCTTCGTAATTTTGATTATTAAAATCACAGAAAGAGAAAGATAGCGAGCTCAAAATAATTAAGAGAGATGTTATAGAGTTTCAATTCGATTTTCTCCGGTAGAAATGACACTACAGTAGAATAACAGATTTGGATAAAATTGAGGTCAATTTGATTAAATTGATTTTGAACTGAAAATTAGAAATATGAAAATCATATTTTGTGGTTTGAACTAAATTAACTAGTTAACAAATTTATTTAGAAAAAATGAAATAACTTTACTTATTTAAAATAAATTAATTAAGAAAATTACGGAGATTCGGTTCTTATTAGGTTTTTCGGGTCTTGGCCTAGAATGGAGAACCGAACCATACCCATCGGTTCTTGATTCAAATACCCATTCGGGTATTTAACTTGAGAAGAACCATCGGGTTCGGTTCGGTTCGAGAGTTTTGTCCAGCCCTACGTAGGAGTATTGAAAACTCTTTGATCAAGTCCTGGGTCGCATCTTATCTGTATTCAATGGTCGTACAAATTAGTCATATCACTTAAAGACCTAAAGAATCTACTGTATGGATTTACTTTCAAGATTTCAATTAAACTAACTAAAGTTGATTCAACAAAGTTCTCTGCAATTTTCATACGATTTTCAACTTCATTATCTGTATCGTAAAAATACAGCTACATATAACAAGGTGTGTTATTCTCCGACATAAGTTTATTTACATAATGATATACATGACCCTGAACCCTAGATGTGTAAATACCTCTGTACAATTTAAATAGTTCTTTATCGTACTTTACACCAAAAGAAGTGAATGCAAAAATGATTAATATACCAATTCCAAGCATGTAGGTTCTCTAGAGGTAAACAAGTTGTATAATTCAGTTGGTGAATCAGACATGCACAGTTTAACTTTTCCATTAGAGCAACAAAACTATTACTTTCCCTATAAAATTTTTTTGTGCCATAATATTTTCAATAAATGCATGTCGGTAATACATATGCAACACCTGGTACATTCAATGAGTTAAAACTTCCTTGTAATTCAGGATTAGAAATATTGGGCATTTCGTTGTTCGAAGTAGAAGTCTCAGAATGATGATGCGTTGTAGATTCATGCATATGGGAAAAATGGAAATTATTATTTTTAGATAACATAGATGCAGTTATCCTTCTGCGATGATCAATGGTCCCAACTCGAGCTTGATTTCGCTGATCTCTTCGTCTTTAATTTTGTTGTTGACAAATAAATGCATTTTGTGACTCAATTGTACTTTCAGAGATATTTTCAGTGTTAAGCAAACGAGGCTTTTCATGAGCACATGTTTTCAAGATATCCATTAGAAATATAAGATGACCTACCAAATATTTGAAGCTCAAAGTAAGCAACAACAACTACAAAAAGAATTTAAGAGAACCATGAGCACAGATGCTTGGTCATACGCATACCAAATATAGACTTTGCCATTGAATAATTGGTATACAAAAAGTGAAAGATATGTTCAAATCTCCACAGTATGTACACTACTAAAAAATAGCTTTTCACCTACGAAAAATTACTAAAGGATTGCATCAGTTGGTAATTAGAAACGGATTATCCGTTGGTAAAAGTAACTCACTTTCAACTACGATAATCAGCAACGAAATTTTCGTTGATAACAATGATATCCTTTTACCAATGAATATTCTGTGCCTAATGTAACCGTTTAACATTTGTAGGGATGGCAGTGGGGTAGTGCCCCACCCCACCCCGCCTCGTGGCGCCCACCCCTGCCCCGTCCCGCCTCAAACTAGGCGGGGCAGGGCGGGATGAGGCCAGCCCCATTTGTCGCCCCCTTTTTTTTAATTTCAAATTATGTTATTATTAGAGAATAAAATATAAATTCAAAATTTTAAAATTCAAAGTAAACACTTGAAATAAACAATGTTAAAAATTAAACAATTTCAAATAAAATTACGTTTTGACTAAATTTTATTTCTTTTGTAATTAATTAAAATTTTACATTTTTATTTTATTATCTAATAATATAACTTGAAATTTTAAAATGTAAAAAAATAATAATAATAAAATAAAATCTTCACGGGACAGGGTCGGGGTGGGGCATCCCCACCCCGCCCCGGCCCGGGTTTTTTTGTCATCACTAAACATTTGGATCTTTTACCTACGGATATTCCGTAGGTGACGTACCAAATATTACTAACGAAAACAATCCGTTGGTAATTAAAAATGGATTATCCGTTAGTAAAAGTAATTTACTTTCAACTACGATAATCAGCAACAGATTTTCCATTGGTAATTATAATATCTCTTTATCAACGGGTATTATGTGTCTAATATGACTATTTAACGTTTGAATCTTTCACTTATGATTATTTCGTTGGTAATTAAAAACGGATTATCCGTTGGTAAAAGTAATTCAATTATCCCACATTGGAAGTTTACAACAAAGTCTTTGAAATTGTCCTCTATAAATTTGTGGTCCAATAAGTGGTTAAACAATATTTAGACTTTTCGATTCAATTATTTAAAAGTTTTAAAAATTTTATAATTATTAAATAAATAATAATAACAATAATAATAAAATAAGTAAATATTTTTTTTTTACCATGCCTCACACCTATATGACTATTTACAATATTGATTTTTACCAATTGTAAAGGTAAACATGTACCAACGGAAAGTCGGTTGGTATTAGTCAAGATTTTTATCAACGAAAATTTCGTTGGTAAAAAATTCACACATTACCAACGAAATTTTCATTTATAAAATGTTTACTCTTTATCTGCGGTACAATTCGTTGGTAACTATCAGCGACCCTCAAATTAACAACGAATTTGTGGCTGCAAATATTTCGTTGGTAAAGAGTAATAGCAATGGGTATTAAAGTTTTAGGAACGGAAAATTCATGTCTGAGGCCATATTTTTTATTAGTGGTAAATAATGTTACAACTAACAAAACACAAAGGCATCTTATAAAATATATAGCCTACATATATGAGAACTCCACCAAAAACCAATTGTTTGAAAAAAAAAATTTCATCAAAATTACAATTATCTGAAAAGAATCTTACTCTTAAACCAAAAGTAAAGCAAAAGAGAGAGACAGATAAGAAAGAGAATAATTTAATTAGACAGATAAAAAAGTTAAAACTAAGAAACTAATGCAGTAATCAGATTAAGAAATAGAGACCTAAAGAAAGAATGAAACATCGTTAACAAAGAATTTTGAATGCCGTGTAAATGTTGTCGAAATGTAAAAGACATTACAAGTAAAGAACAAATATAGTGCAAAAAGAAAAGACTACATAAGAAATGAAGTTAAGAATAAAAAATTAATAGGGAAGAAAAATGTGCAAAAGATAAGTATGAAAACAAATGAATTAACAAAACAAAAATTATACAAATAACCTACCCGATCAATATTCCATAAAAGAAATGAAGTTAGAAAATCTATCACATGAAAACTGAACACAAAAGGTAAGAAATAGATTGTACATTACTTGAAAACAAGAAGAAAAGAAATCGAACTTTAGGTGCAGTGTGATTAAAGCTAACAATGAACCTAAGAGGATGAACAAAAGAAGGAAATGAATAAAATAGTAAAAAAGTCAAATAAACAAAGAGAAAAAGAAAGCTGAATGAAAGAAATCAAAAACTTCTATAGAAAACCATGAACAATCAACTAAAGAAAAAAAATGTATTTAAAAACCCTTACCCAAAAGAGATCTTGCCACTACAATCTTCAATTCCACGAGCTAAGTAATATAATATAGC